ATATATAGATTAGTTATTTTAGAAACCCAATCTAATTCATCATATTTACTATCTATCAATTTTTAGAGACTTCCCTGCTTCGTATACACCATCACCATCATGTAATTACTATCTTTTGGGTTCTTAGTTATTCTATAAATTGCAATCGTCGAGTTGCTCCATGTTTGTGTTGATTTTTCAACCTAAAATATTAATTAGAATAAATAATAGTTGTTTTAGTGCTGTATGTAATAAACCTCACTACGTACATATATACATATTCAATTCACAGAAAAATTACTTAATAATAGTTATATCACTAAGTTCAATTAGTATGTATGTAAAATCATATGATATTGACCTATAATAGTCTTATCATAGTCCAACACTGCTTCAATAAAACACTGCTTCAACTGAACCCAATGATGCTGCATGTGGAGCCAATAGAGCTTTATTTACGATGTGAATAGAACTCAAAAAACTAATTCATTGACATTTCTTCAAAGCCCATTGCCTTAATATGTATTGTATTTTCGTATAATAATGTGTATGTATGTTTAGATCAATGTAAATTAACAATTATGAAAATACGTACGTACATATCATGATCAGCTCTTATTGAAATAATACATCTATATACTCAAATGGGTGTTATTACACGAAAATACAGTATGTAATATGCATGTATGTATCCTGAAACTGGCTTCGTTCGAATATGAACTGGTACATATGTATAATTAACGCCAACAGAGATTGATTCTCTAGACAATATATCAATTATAAATATGTGTTAGATTAAATTACATTTTCTTTAACTTTTTCGATTCATATACATACCTTAAATTAAATACCAAAAATAAAATAAAATAAAAATGCCAAAGACAAATAAACATACAAGACAATTTCAACAAGCTGCTACTACAAAATGGAAAAATAAATCAGTGACCAATACCACTTCAAACAAAAATCACGAACCTATAGTGCTTAATTCCATTAACAAAAATTGGCCTACAGTATCTTCTTTATTGAATAAGGCTCTTGATAGTAGTGTTAATGATGATAATTCTAAATTATTATCACTTGATGCACAATTGAAAACAAAAACTGTCAATATAAATCTTAATACAACAAGACAATTTCTTCATCTTGTGAATCAAGGGTATACGAAGATGAAAGCAAGTGAACTTCTAGCCAAAAGTTTGGGTAAAGGCCCATGGCATGCTCGGCGTATTCATACCTGGGCAAATCAATGGAAAAATAACAAAGAGTTAATAAAGTCAAAACGTGGTCAACATATAAAAACAAAATCGTTGATACATAATATAAATTTTCGACGTCAAATAAAATCAATATTTGGAAAAAATTAAATTTAGATTATCTATTCCAAATTTTATGAGTTATGTTAGCCAAATTATGCCTACTTTTGGAGTTATAAGTAAAACTATTAGCAGGTCAACTGTGTGTAGATGGTTAAAATTGCTTGGATAGAGATACCAAACCCATACAAAAAAGATTTATTTTGATAGTCATGAACGTGAAGATGTAGTGGAGTACAGAAATGATTTTTTGCAGGAAATGGCTAGGTTATGAAGACGAATGTCCAGTTATGATAAAAATTTAAACCATATCCTGCCAAACCTTGATTCTGGTGAGGTTGAAATCGTTCCTATTATCCAAGATGAGACTACTCTTTATGCGAATGATGGTGTAAAGCAATATTGGAGCCTGAAGGATGAATATGGCCTACGGAGAAAATCACAAGTAAGAATCGGCTAATTAGCCAACTAAAATTTTTAATTATTAATAATTA